TTTCATGTGGGACTCCATATCGACAAATAATATTTCTCTCGATAAAGAGTGCTACATGTTTTGCAGTGAGTTTAGCGTATGATTGCGCTTCAACCCACTTTGTGAAGTAATCAATTGCTACTAGTATATATTCGTGGCCTCCTGTTCCTGGGGGAGTGATTTTGCCGATGATGTCAATTCCCCATGTAGAGAATGGCCATGGTGACGTGTAGGTGTAGAGCAAGGATGGAGGAACATGTTGTAAATTGGCATATATTTGGCACTTAGGGCATCTTTTTACATATTGATGGAAATCCCTATTCATTGTAGTCCAATAATATCCTTCCCGCATTATCTTTTGGACTAACATTTTGCCATTTATGTGGGTGCTACAGATTCATTCATGGACTATCCTCATTGCTCTTTGTGCATCCTTTTTTCCTACACATAAGAGAGCTCGACCTTTAGGTACCCTTTTATGTAGCTCATTGTCTATGAGTACATATTGGGAAGCCAAGAGTCTTAATGCTCGTTTTGCTCTTTTGTCAGCATGGGGAGGGTATTCTCCTTTGGTGACATAATTGAGTATATCCGTGTACCACGGTTCTTCTTCTTCTTCTACTTCTTCTTCTTTGTCTTGGACTACTTCGTCGTCTTCTATAGCCTGGATGTATGCTAGTTTGTGCCTTTTCTCTATAGTTAGAGGCATTTGCTCGATTTCCGTGGGAATCCTAACCATTGAGGCTAGTCTTGCCAAGGCATCAACAAATTGATTATCTTCCCTAGGTAGGTATGTGTACTCTACCCTACCTTCTCTAACTGATCAGTAAGAGTTTCCAGATAGGTTTGGTAAGGGGCTAGACTTTCGCTCCTTACTTTCCCCCTTTTAGATATTTGATTGATAATTAAAGAAGAGTCTCCGAATATCCTTAACTTTTTTACTCCCAATGCCAAAGCTGTTTCAAGGCCTACCACGCATGCTTCATATTCAGAAGCATTGTTGGTAACGTCAAAATCAAGCTTTATGGATATTGGAACATGCTCTTCTTTAGGTGATACTAGTAATACTCCAATTCCACATCCCTTATGGTTTGAGGCTCCGTCGAAGTACAAGGTCCAAGTAGCATGTCTTCTTTACTTGCTGGTTCTGGAAGGTTATCCATGGCGTCGAAAAAGATCTCCTCCTCTTCTTTGATGGCATGAATTTCTTTGACAGGTTTAATGAGAGACGAGGGGTCAACTTCGTTTTCCTCATCAGAGATAGCCAAGGAATAAGCGAGAGGTGCACTATCAATGCTTGGCTTCTTACTGGCAGGGGGCAATGGCAACTTGTTGTTGTCGATTAAGTCTTGGATAGCTTCCTTAAGCTTCCAACAGTTTTCGGTGAGATGGCCCCTACCTTGGTGGTACTTACAGTGTGCATTGGGGTTCCAATTAGCCGACCTCTTTTCAACTGGTGGGTCCCCAAATGGTCCAATAGGAGTTATAAGACCTTTTGCATTTAATCGATCAAATGCGGTGTCATAACTCATGCCAATAGGAGTAAAGTTCCTCTTAAATGGTTTCTTTTGTCCTTGATTGTTCATAGCAAGGACTTCACCTAAATTGAAAGTGCTAACGTTGTTTGAGTGGGTGGTTTTGGAAGAAGAAGGATTGTCGTTCTTCTTTCCTTTCCAGCCACTATTGGAGTTATTGTTGGCAGCTTTTAACTTTTCCAGGTCGTCTTCAATATTGATTCCAATATCATAGACGTCCTTGAAGGTATGGAGATTGTTTTGATATTTGAGATGCTTGGAGTATATTTCTTGAAGATTTTTGATGAATAACCTTACATACTCTTTTTCACTTGGCACCTCAATCATCTTAGCTGAGGTTTCTCTCCATTTGTTAAAGAAAGAGGTGAAGCCTTCATTCTCTTTCTGCTTGAGGATTTCAAGTTCCCTATGGTCAGTCTCAACTTGAATGTTGCATTTTTATCTATCAACGAAAGCGATTGCTCTGGACTCCCAGGTAGAGGTCTTTTCTTTCTCGAGAGAAAAGAACCATTTTTGGCAAATGGTCTTGAGAGATAGTGAGAACAGAGAGGGGAAAACCTTCTTATCGATACCCTTAATACTCATTATTGTCTCGAAGGCTCTTAAATGGAAATAAGGGTTGTCGGTTGCTTTGAATTTCGGGATGTCGTTGGCATTAAACTTCTGTGGAAGAAGATCTTTGTCCACCGAGACCCCTTGTGAACTAATCCCTTAAAACTTGTAGTCGCTAAATAGCTTTCTTAGACTCTCTTGCGTGAGGTCCATCTGTTGTTGCTTCACGGGATCATCAATCTTAAGTGTGAGGAGCTTCAGTGTCTCAGTCACGGTAACCAATTGATTCCTAAGCTCATTGACTTCCTCCTGTGTTGCCATTATTGTCCTAGCTTTCCTCTTACGAACTATGGGTTTTTCGAAAAGTTGGACTTGTACGAAAAGGTTGTCTTTAATTAACCGTCCTTCCTTTCTTGACCACGCGTTGTAATTTAAACCATTTTACGTTTTAATTACTTGACCCAAATCGACTTGACTTTATGGTTTTAAAGAGGAAAAAATAAAAAATGGGTGCATATTTTTAGCAAAAATAATGTATATATTTTTTGGGAACTAAGTATAGTTTTTAAATTGGAGGATTAATATCCGGCTTACCCCCCTAAAAAAATGACGGAAAAAACGCGCATGCAAGACTCTCTTAGACATGGTCAAAGTATGTGTATTGGTGTGTGCGTTGAGTGTAAGTGACATGCTTGGACTCTTGTGTAAGACCATGGGACTTAGTGCTTAAACTCGATTAATGACTTGACAAAGTATTATTGACAGTAAATTAACCGAATTAATTAGAAAACTGGTCAATTAGACACTAGGTGATGACTCGACCAATAACCCGAATTGTCGGCAAAACGACAGGACTGGCGTCGCACTGTGTAGTGTAGCGCCAGACGACAGAGCTGTCGCCAGGCGCCACACTCCATAGAGTGGCGCTACAGCTCATATTTTGGCGCCAATGTTGGAACTTCAATCTGAGACTGTTTTCGGTGTTATTAATCAGCAGGGGCATGCCTAAAGTCGTACTAGGTCAATTCTGATTAAAATATTAGACTTTATTTATTCAAATTAATTAATCAATTAATTAATTAGGCAAAGTTCTATAAGTCATCAATTTATTAAATCTCAACACAAGTCAAACAAACGGTTAAGAAAACATATATATGCACAACAAATAATGCACAATTAGTCAAGTAGGCACAATATGATGCAATGAGTTTGCAACCTAACCATGGCTCTAGTTCTCTAAAGTTCGGGATATGGTTTAGTCAATAGAGGGTCCATGGTTAATTGTCCGGATGCACCGCGCGGAAGCCTAACCATGAAGGGTTGGCGCGAGTAGATGGGACACCGCGAGTTTTAGAAAAACTCGCTTCCATGGTTTGGTGAATTCAACATTCTCGGATGTACCCTTTGTTACTTAGAGCGTTCAATCAGGTAGATGGAGCATGAATTCCTAGAGGGTTATGTCCATATGTAGAACACATATGGGCTTCAGAAAAGTGAGAAAAACTCAATAAGGAAGTAGGATCGAGCAAACAATACGAAAAACTGGTCAAAATTAGAACGCATATTTCTGGCTCGGTATTGGAAGAATTTGGCGCCAGCAAACAGAAATTGGCGCCAGGATTTAGCTGTAGTGCCTGACGATAATGTTGTCGTCTGGCGCTACAGTTAAATATCTGGCGCCAACTTCTGTTTGCTGACGCTAATTTCTACATGCCTAAGCAGCTTTCTGTGCTCGATAAAATTTTCCAGTTTCGCGTAGTGTTATTTCGGTCCTAGTTGTGAAAGATATTTCTCAAATCTCCTACGTGTAAAGTCCTATGTTTTTAACTCATTACCGATGGTCTTTCCAATGAGATCTTTTTTATGCATATGACAATAATGTTAATCAAAATTACGCACATGAAATACTTAGAACGTTTCGAGTCTCATCCACTCATACTAAATCATTGCCGAAATAAATTCAAGAATTAAAATAGAAATCCTCCCCAGTGGAGTCGCCAAAAACTATAGGGAATATTTCAAGCATTAACCCCTAGCTTGAACCCCACTGTGATCATACACTAAAGTACGATGGCGTCCAAAAGGGAAGAAGATAGAGCAAAAGAGTCGCCAACAAGTTTTTTAAGAACATGTAAACCGTTCACGAGGTGAAGGTTACACCCCTTAACGATCCAAGAGATCGTCAACTCCATAAGGTCTTGAACAAAATAGGGTTCGAGGATGAAGGTACAAATCCAACCTAAAAGAGATTGAACCTGCCCTAATAATCACTAGTAGAAAAAGGCTTATTTGCGTCACTCATTTATAGTGTATTTGCGTCGCTTCTATGAGCGACGCAACTGCTCGCGACGCAAATGACTTTTAAGTCATTTGCGTCGCTCTTAGGCGCGACGCAAATAAGAGTCATTTGCGTCGCTCCTTTATAAACAAGCGACGCAAATGACTCTTATGATAAACTTATTTTTTGTCATTTGCGTCGCTCCTTTATAAACAAGCGACGCAAATGACTCTCTTGATAAACTTATTTTTTTGTTATTTGCGTCACTCCTTTATAAATGAGCGACGCAAATAACTCTTCAGATAAACTTATTTTTTGTTATTTGCGTCACTCCTTTATAAAAGAGCGACGCAAATGACGTTTCTGGTAAACTTCTTTTTTGTTATTTGCGTCACTCCTTTATAAAAGAGCGACGCAAATAACTCTTCCAATAAACTTATTTTTTGTTATTTGCGTCACTTGTTTATATAGGAGTGACGCAAATGACTGAGTAGACAATACAAAACTGTTGTATTTGTGTCACTTGTTTGTTTAATGAGTGAAGCAAATGAGGTGAATTTTTCTTTTTTTTTAATTATAATATAATAATTGCCTTGTATATATTTGTAGTACCTGTTTTCCTTACTAGATAAAGTAATATGCTAACGCTAATATAATTGAAATTAAAATGCAATATTATTGAATAATGCAAATGTAAATTTCGGCAGAGTCTCCTTTGTAATTTGGCCTACCCATAAAATTGGGAATGACGACATTATATTAACAACCTGTCCAATAATTTACATCTCAATATCATAGACATTATACTCATCATCCCAACACCAATTAACCAAATTACTTCATTTCAAGCCTATAATCCAAAACAAGAGTCAAACATGCGCTAAGTGGTAAATCTAAAGTTCAACATTACATATAAAATACTCTGCCCAAATATCTCGAATCTCATTTATCTCCTCCTCGGTGTACGGTGTAGTTCTTGAAAAATCCTATCAACACAACAAATATACAAGAGGAAAGTTTTAATTCAAGATTGTAGCTAACATCAAATTGTATTTATCAAACAAAAATGAAATATTTGACAACTCATACCTGAATAAGATCTTCACTGCTATGGTGATGTTCAAGTATTTCGTACATATAACGCATGACGTAGTAGCCACACTCACGTCCACCCAATTGTTGAGGACACTACATGTAATATATTTGTAAGTTGAATTAAATTGCTATACTTCGATTATTAAGAAACTAAAAGTTAGGGTAAGAAATTAAGGTAACCTGTCACTTCCAGACACATGAATCCAATGGAAGCCACTTCCTCCGTATCGAGTAAGTCACTTAAGGCCCTACATATATATCATGTAATAACATTATAAATGGTAATTTGTTGTTGCTATGTACTACTAAAGGAAAAAAAAATCCAGAAGCAATTATGAACTAAACAGAAGTTTGTGGGCACATGCAAAAGTTTGTCCAAACTAAGAGGCAACTAACAAAAAGTTCAAGGCTAAATCATTACCTCAAAGATATTGATGACTTATTGATAGCTTGTCACCAGGAACAGGAAGACTGCCAAATTACAAATTACATCATGTATCATAATTGACATACTACATATAATATTACCCTGCTAAAGCCAGTTTGGAGTCATAGAGATTAGAGACATACTATTATCAATGCCAAGGATAGTCCTACAGTCAAACTTCTTTGCTGCAAAACACAATTGAATTGAAAAAAGATCAGAAGTGAAAATTTGCATGCTAAATTGAAAACACAAATGCATTGATCCTTACCAATATTAATAGTTATCAATCCGCTGTTGCAACCAATGTCAAGACAATCTTTGCCTTCAAACCACTCCTTCTTCAGTACTTTGAACCGTGGATCCTCCTCAACGTCATGACCTACCTGAATCATCACTTAAACTTAATTGCAGGATCTCATGACATGGAAATTCAACTTACAATCCAGCGAGCCAACCAGACATTTTCAAGAAAGATAAACAAAACCAAACAAAATACATACAACCACCCCAGAATACATAAAATTTCTAACATTAAAATTTCACATCTTGACTCAATAAAGGCATAAGAAGGAAACTTCCCTAAACTAGGACATATAAACATCGATAAAGGCTTTACTTAGAAATTAGCTCAATACATGCCTTTGGTGAATACTAGAAAACAAAACAGAAACAAACATTTTCATGTAGGAGTTAGCTATATTTCTCAATGAAATTATCAATAACATACATGGTGAAAAGAGTGAGGACAATTTAAAAAAAGAAAATCTTCTGAAAACTCAGAGTTCGTCCCCCTCCCCCTCTCTTCCAATGATTTATTATACAATTACAACTATATCAAAATCTTCATACAAACATGCTAGATTATCAGTGTAACATTACTCAACGCTCTTGAATTAAAAACATACAATTTAACTCTACTCAATTACCATGAAAAGAGAAAGCATAATCAGGCAGAAGTCAGCTTTAATTTAATCATAAAATGTGAAATTTTACATCTACAAACTGATTGATCATTAATCACAGTAAAAATTCCACGGAGATAAAATTTTCATATAATAAACATCACTAGAATTTAAACATTAGCAAAACTTAATTTTTTGATATATTTTATAACCTAATGTTGCTAGAATCAGTCAAATTTTACAAATTCATTAGGCAGAAATAGTGAATTACCATGAAAAAAATGTATCACAGAAAAAGAGTTTAAATAATAATTATCAATTAAAATTAAAACAACATTTGAGCATAAGTTTAAAATCTTTACACATCTAAATATTTTCTATGGAAACATTATTTCTCAGAAAACCCCTTAACTTTGAAAAAGAAGAAAGAAATAAAAAAAAAAAAGAAGATAAAATCAGAAAGGAACTTACACGGTAACCATAGTAATTCCTGTAATTTCCGAAGGGAGCAACCTCTTTGTTCTTCTTCTTGTTCTTTACAATACCATTATTACCGTTATTAACAGCAACTGGGTTTTCTGTCTTTTTTTTTTTTGCGTTGAATCTGCCATTTAATTCTCTTCGGCTTCAAACAGCAACTGGGTTAAGACAATTGAATTAACAATAACCTCCCATCATAAATGCATTAAAACATGTGACATCAATCAATCCAAACTTTGTATAAATTGAAATAAACAGGTATAATTTGAAAAAACAAGATAAACCAATGACTAAATTCAAACCATGATAATACCTAACCCACATGGCCACATACATACATAGCCACTTCAATTGTTGTTGCTGTAATTTGCTTGAACTTCCTCGGGTTTTTGGGGGCGAAATTAAGCGATTTTTCCACTCGAAAATTTCAGTTATTGCTCGAATTTTTGTTGCTGTAATTTCTTGACTTGAACCCAGAAAAAGACGTAATTCAAACAATTATTGTTGCTGTAATTTCTTGACTTAAACTATTGTTGCTGTAATTTCTTGACTGAAATTCGAACAAAAATTATTTATGACTGAAATGGGACAAATTTCTTAGGGTATATTGCGTCGCTGCCAAAAACCCTAGAAATCCCCCCCACGAAATCCCCCAATCGAACTTGAAGACCGAAATTGAATTTTTTGGGGTTTTTAGGGTTCGAATTTGTATGCTTTTGAGTTGATTTTTTGCTCGAAATGGGGGATTTTTGGTCGGAAACAATCAATTTTTCTAGGTTTAAGGCTTCGAATTTCTTAGGGTTTTTGGTCTAAATTTTTGCTCGAAATTGCTCGGATTTGCAGCCGATTATGGGTCTTCGACTTCACTGCGATTTTAGATGTTAAATTTGCTGGGGAAATGCAAGTTTTTGGCCGAATTTGTTGGATTTCAGAGACAAATTTGTGGGTGTTTTGCTGTAGAAATTCGCTGGAATTTAAGAACTCTTGTTTTTTTTCTTTTTATATAGTGAATGTAGGCGTACCTATGAAAAATTAATGTCAAAAAACGCAGAAAAATCTAAAGCCAAAAGAGTTATTTGCGTCACTTTATTATAAAAAAAGCGACGCAAATAACCTTGTTTATAATGTTGCACACAATTCATATGCGTCGCTCATTAATAAAAGAGTGACGCAATTTACTTCATCACTTATTTGCGTCGGTTTCTAACTAATGAGTGACGCAAAGAAGTTTATTAATTGCGTCGCTTTAATAAATAGGAGCGACGCAAATGATAGAAAGCTGAAATGCACTTGAGTTTTGCGTCGCTTCTTGAATAATATGCGACGCCAATAATTTAAAAAGATGGTAAAAATAAACATTTGCTTCGCTCCTTAGAATGAGTGACGCAAATATGGCGACGCAAATGTACATTTTTCTACTAGTGAATAGGCCTCTACTTTATTCAGATCGTATTCATGTGCGCTTTCTAACTAACATGCAATCAATAGGTTTAACCCTAAACCTGTTTATCTATGTTGGTTGAATAGTAATGCACAAATAAAATTATTATCGGCGATCACTTGAATTATAATCAAATTAACCCTAAACAAGATTTTTAATTATCTTATATAAACGTGATTTCAAGTACAAATTCCCTTTAAACATGCATAAAAGGTGTGATCAAGCAATAACAATAAAAATCAAGCAACATAATAATAATCATCATAATAATAATAACAATAATAAAATTATAATCATAATCAAAACAATTATAAAAATAATCATGAATCATGCTAAAGCATAATAATAATAAGATCTTAGGCATGATACTAACAAGATTAATAACAAACCCTAGCATGTCACTAAGCAATAAAAATCAAAGCTTTAACCCTAATATGATACTAACAATTATAAATATTAGGAAAGAAAATAGAAGGCATCATAACAATCATACTTAGTATTAAATTTACCCTAGACATGATACTAGGAATTATAATAACAACTTAAGCATGAACTCTATATCATAAACTCAATAAAAACCATTAAAGTACTTACTTTGATACCTCGTACCTCTTTCTAATAACAAAATACACACGTTAGTTACTTCAAGGAAAATAATACACAAAATAATTAAATTAAATAATAATTGAAATAGAGATTAGGGACCAAACCCTCAGAAATTAAACCTTTCACGTTTAGGGCGAAGGAAACTTCGAATATGGCTAGGTGTATCTAGATCTAATGAATGCGGAATTTTTATATTTGAGAGAAGGCTAGTTTAGAAAAGAGAGTGAAAGAGAAATGGTAGATTGTCGATTAGAATTGGTGATTGTTGATGAATGAAAACAGAGTTTTTACGACGTTATTTATAAAGAAAATCAGCCAAAAGATAAAATATCAAAACAGAATTCTGACGCAAAAAACGGAGTTGGCGCTAGACGCTGACCTTAGCGCCAGACGCTAAGATTGGCGCCGGGCGCCAAGTCTAGCACCAGGCGCCAAGTCTAGCACCAGGCGCCATTCGTAGCGTCAGGCGCTACAGCTGGCGTTTAGCGCTGACTCAAAAATCCACGCGTTTTCTTAAAATCAGATAAAAATTGCCGTACAGGAGGATAAAATCGTATTTTTCCTCAAAAATGCTCTTTGATTCTAATTAAAACTCTCAAAAGTCAACAAAAGTCAATTTATCAATGTTAATTGAATTAGGAATGAAAAGAACCTTCTAGAAGAATCTAGAAGACTAAAACCATTCCTAATTGCATTAGGAATGATAAATCCATTAGGCCCCCCTCTAGATCACTGGGCCGCATATAAGGCTCAAACCGGGCCCAGTTTAGTAAATTGGCCATAACTTCCTCAATATTCATCGGAATTGGGCTTATAATATATCGTTGGAAAGCTCTTGTCAAGTTCTATCCAGCTACACCATTATTGGACCCACATCATGGACCAACCAAACTGGATTGGTTGTTTTCTTAAAATAAGTTTTCAAAAACAGAGAGAAGAGAAAAAAAAATTAAAACTATCCGCAACACTAGACTTTCCACACTTTCACTTCATTCGATGATGATTCGACGCGAAAGGTACTCATCACTGGGTTTGGTTTTGGGGAGACACAAATGGGTGTCTACAATAATACTTATAATCAAACATCAAAAATCAAATCACAAAACCCATAATTAATATTTAGATCTAGGATTAAATTTAGTATTAAAACAAAGATTAATTTTTTTTTCAGAAAAAGAGGGAGGAAGGGCAGCGGCAGCCACCATGCCGGCAGCCGAAAAAAAGAAGGGGAAAGGGAAAAAAGGAGAAAGAAAAAAAAAAGAAAGAAAATAAGGAAAAAGGAGAGAGAAGCTTACCTTGGGTTTTCTCCACTCTGGGCAAAGTTAATTTGCCTCATAAGAGTGATATTTATACCCCTTCTCTACCACCCTTTTACCCTAAACTTTCCTCTTTTAGATAAAACTTGTTAAAATCATAATTTCTTAAAATAAAATTCCAACTTTTATAAAATAAATAATTAAACAAACTTTCCTTTAGTAAAAATATTTCCAAACTTACATAGGATAAATAATTAAAATACCATAATTAAAATATTAAAATTATTTAAATACCTTTATAAAATACTCCCTCCGTTTTTAAATACTTGCTCCACTCACGTTTTTGCGCAACTGGCCTCACCGAGTAACTATTTGCAACAGATTAAAGTATATATCTCTTAGAGCAAGACATGCACTAACCCATATGACACTAACCGAGTAACCCTATAATACTAAACGGGTAACCTCTATAAATTTGACAAAGTAAACCTCATAATATTTAGCTACATTGCGTGGCCACCGACATAAAAGAGTAAGATCCTGTTTTTTGAGCTTATAAGCAAAGCAGGGAATATCATATGCAGATAATGTGTCAGCACGACAGAACAAATGTCAGCACATTGTTAATACGATTATTATACTCACTAGAGCAAAGCTAAACAGGGTTCAACATAGTCGACCAATCCAAAACCGACCATTGCAGCCCAAGTATAAGTTATAACTTCAAGATCAACTTTCTGTGCTACAAGGACATGATTGTCATAAATCATTTGCACAGGTATTGGTTTAGAACCATACTGGATCGACCTATGAGAATACTTTAAGAAATTAAAAAAATTTGTCATAAGTATACTTCTCATTATGGCTATCAGAACCTATTTCCTCGACCATGAGTATTGTGAGTTCTCTTGTTTGAGTACTAGTTCGCTTTGATGTTGTCAAACGTCTGCCGTAATAGAGGATTATAACGGCAACACTCGGGCGACTAGGTCATCCCAGTAAGAGGAGCTACATTACAAGACTGGGAATGTCCCCCTACTAAAATATCGAAGATGTCTTTGTTGTATACAAGGCCTCTCGTAGAGCGAGACTGTAAAATGCATGGGTGTGCTCGGATGGATTTTAGAAATCATCTGTTTATTGACAGTCGGACTCGAAATCAGGAAACACTTCTGGACGTAATAAGGATGACAAAATAAATCTTACCTTATAGTTCATGAAGAGACATTAAGCGAGGAAAAAGGCTGTACACAAAATGCGCACTTGTCCAGAAGGACAAGTGGGAGATTGAAAGGAATGGTGTCCTTCGAACAAGTGTACTATTCCGTTAATGGGTTCAGAATTATTAGAAAAGCTAATATATTCAGTGAGGTCAAGTGATCGGAATGCCTGGGTGGAGGCCGCTTCCGATCAGAAATATTAATGAATAATTAATATTACAGCTTAATCTTGACTGAACCCTTCGGGTCACACCCTAGCATTCAACAAACCGAGCCGACGAATTAATTCGAAAGGAATTAATGAGTCGACCGAGTAATATTTATTTAGAGTCGGAAATTCGAGCTTAGAGCGTCGAAATCGAGCGTCGGAAGTCGAGTCAAAAAATAGTGAAAGACGAGACGAGAAATAGTAATAAATCAACAAAAGACCAAAATACCCCTAGCATCGAAATGCCCAAGCAAACCGAGTGCTAAGGGCGTATGGCCAAGCATGGTGGCTAGCATGCGCACCAAGCCGAGCTTAGGCTGGCTGGTGCGTGCTAGCGCACCCATGCTAGCATCGCAAGGCTAGGCGTTGCCTAGTGCGTGCTAGCATGCTAGGCACAACCTTGTGTGCGCAATGGC